TCCACTTCAGTTTCATCCAAAGAAGGCCTCAGAAAAGTGAATGAGTGAGCCACGGAAATAGCAGTCACAGTCGAACAATTCCCGTCGCTTCCTTCCGGTTGTGTGGTACACGCAGTCCATTCGGGCGTTCGTGCTGCATACCTTTACACAGCAGCTGCCAGTTCTGTCGTGTAGTGCAGGGAAGTGCAGTGCAGTGCAGTGCAGTGTAATGCGAGAGAGTCGGGTAGGTACGGTGGAAAGCCATTCAGATTGGGACAATGCCCACTGCTCTTTCCTCACTTGTTCGACATTGATCGTGACTGCAAACTAAACAGCTGGGCTGTTGAGCGAACTGAGATGACCTGGCTGGATACAAACACTCCGCGGCAAACCAAGTACCACTGACAAAGCATACTTGCCCTGACTTTTTGACACCTGATTGAAGGCTCGAGGTCCTACTTGGCTCGTCTTTCACATGTGCGCGTGCTTGTCGAACCCATTCATCGCCCGTTGCATAAACTGAAGTACCTAGAGGTACTGATCAATATTACACACTGCACGCAACTCACTGACTCAGCAAATAACTGCAGCATTCACGCATGCATTCACCACGCATTCACTGCAAAGCACTGCAACTGCAGGTCGGTCGGGCTTTGAGCCGAAGTTCCCTTTCAATCTCGCGGAGCTCTTGCTCTTTGTTTGGTCTTGCGCTTCTCTCGGCTCTTGTGTGACGTTACACAACATCCCAACAAGCGAGCAAAAAGCAGTAACGATCGGATCACCAAACTGTGTAGGTATGTAACCAACTGAACTGACTGACTGACCCAACCCAATCGAGATAGCATGGCGGAAGTCGGAGGGGAGGATGGATGAACTGCAAGGTTCCAGTCACCACCGGCGGTCATGTGTAACGAAACATTTCCCATTCATTGAGTGCAACTCAGTTACGAGTGCAAAAGTGTCGTCTAGGCAACATCGTCCGTTTTTTGACTGCCTACATACCACCCAAAGGTAAACCAGACCCTTGCGACGTCCTTGTCAATCCTACCCATTCAGTGTGTACGAATCTCCGGCCAGTTGAGTCAGTCGACCTATCCCCTTCAGCTTAGTTGGTTTTGTTGCTCGGCCAGCCCTTTAAAGACGGGAATCTCGATGATGAGTGGAAAGAAAAGGCATGTCTACCTATACATTGGGGATCTGCATCTCTCGAACGGATTTCATGTTTATTAATCATCCGCCTCCTCCCCTCGTCTGGCAGCTAAGTGGGTGTCACCCCAGCCTTATCGGCTGGTCGAATGGTGTGGTATTTCTTATACCGCCTAGTATCAGTACCGATGGGTAGGTAAATAGGTAGTTCAGAGAACTCGCTCGAACCCTGAAAGAAAAGTTGTCGTCATCTTGCGCAACCAAGTCAAGTCCGACATGCCCCGGCAACATACCTAGGTAGATGCTCTAACGATGGGCATCTGATTGTAGTGAAGTGACTTGTAGTACACACCCCGTTCGTAACCAGGCTCGAGCCTGGCATAAAGTCAAAGGTGTCGTCAACCAGTCTCGTAGCTAAGTATGTATGGGCCCAATAAGCGTGATCTTTGCCCGTTACCCTGCCCAGCAAACTCCGACAGTTGTTGGTCCGCTTCTCTCGGACTTAAGCCACCATAACGCCATCATTTCCTGCCTGCCTGCCCGCCTGCCTGCCCTTCGTGGCCCTTTGGGGTTTGACCCGGCCCAGCCGACTACCTATCTACCTAGCAAAATGGTCCTTTTAATTGCTGTTTTATTTCTATGCCTGTTCAGAGCAAGCTTAAGGAGCAGTACTTTTGTTCTACACTAATCGTCGGTAACGGTCCGAAACGAGAGAGACTGGTTTACTATTAAATGTAGATCCGGAGACCGGTATACGGGGATACGAGTACGTAGGTATAGGAGGGAGCAAACTGAAGAGAGTCAAAAAGTGAGTCTACTGCGTGATTCGTATCCGTATATCATGAAATTTAGCCATACCAATGAAGACGATAGCGAGATATGAAACCTCGGCTCTTTTCTTGCACTGAATGTTGCCACCAAGACAAACACATTTTGTAGATAACAACATGTGTAGGTAGGGCTCGGCTCGAATGACAAGAACACACAGGTTTCACATGTCAGGTCTTCTTCCAATGTCAGAAAAAGTCCCCCCATATGGATAGATAAGTAGGTAGATACGTTTACTCGTGTAGGTGTAGGTAGGTAGGTAATCATGTAGGATAGGTAGCCGGCGTTAACAACAGGAGGTGGAACGATGGGCCGGACTGCAGATCCGAACGGGCGGGCGACGGTTAACCCGGGGTTACTGTGCCGGCCGGCCGCGGTCGTCCGGGCCGCTTAACGAATTTCCACTTGTATGTTATATACCACTGACCCTGACAAATACCAGTCGTCGGCCATTTCGGGTTGCACAGCTGTACCGACCAACAAGTTTGGAATGGAAAATCACGTGGGTAGTAGGTACGATAGGACGGTCCCGCTGCTGGCAAACAAACAGATTACGATACGCGAGGGTCTTCACACATATGAGAGAGAGTGTGTGATTAAAGCCCTTGCGAACATTTGCTGCGCCGCGGACGGGCTGTTTGACGGGCAGTGGGGGAGAGACAAGCCTCGACAACAAGGGGCGGCCGGCCGCGTATAGCGCCAGCGGGGCGAGGTAAAAAAAATAAAAAAAAAAAAAAGTTGGGAGGAGTTGGTTCAGTTGTTAGTTAGTTAGTTGGTTTCTGATGTCTTGGTTGTTGGTTGCCGGTTGTATACTATCAAAACAATTTTCAGGGTTTCTTAGTCGGGGGGTTAATTAAACTAGTGTATTCTAGTCGGGCTTGACTACACTACTGTAGCTTGAGGCTAGGTAGGTAGGATGATATCTGGATCCTGGCCTTCGTCGTCGTCTCCAGTTTGAAAAAGAGGATCGTCGTCGTTGAGGATCGATCATTCAGGATCGCTGCTGCGTGGAAGAACGCGATAAGCATCGAGAACCGATCAGGGGGTTGAATTGACGCATGCGATTGGCTTCAATTCCCATGGGGAACCGAGACCACACTAGACGTTTGCTTTCCTTCTTTGTGGGTTTATGGCGGGGAGCAAAAAAGGGGCCACCTAGGCACCGGACCGCCCTGTCAGGTAGACTGTCGAAAAGGTTTAGTCTAGTGTCATTGTCTCTGTCTGATCTCTGGAAAAACATGCGCTGCGCACCCATGGATGGACGCTACGGGACCGAACCCACCGGCGGCCGAAGGATTGCAATGTCTCAGTTGCCTGAGCCATCGTACCTAGACGAGGTACCAGCCGAGCTAGCGTCCACTGCCGCCGCCACGATACTGTTTAGGTCTTCTCGAGCCTTGGGAAAGAAGAACAGAGAGAGAAAGAGAGAGCCCTGTATTCGGAACTCTCGCCAAGCTGCGTAGAAACAGAAGAAGGAGTTCTTGTCTCAAAGGAAAAACAGAAAAACAAAAAGACGGATAGTTTAAACGCCGAAGGGGATCGGAACTACGAACAAGGCATACTCAGAATACATTCCTCATTGGTGTCTTTCCATGTCGTGAGAAACTGCCGTCCGATCAACAACTGCGGTTTGCTCCAACAATCGATGAACGTGCCATGCTCGATGCCATGCCATGCCATGCCATGCCGTTCTGTTTCATTCAGACTTGAACTAGGTACGTAGTAACAGTGTGTGCACCGAATACCCGCTCATCCAGGGCAGTGATGCCACTACGACAGTACAGCATCACCATGAACACTGTTGGTTCGCATGATACCTACTACTGCCCTGAAATCTATGTTACGTATGTAGGTATGTCGCTCGCTTCGCTTTCGGTGGTTTGTTCCTGAACTTGCGCGTCCTTTTTTCTTGCCGTTCAGAAACGACAGAGTTAGGAACACAATAAAATCCCTGCAAGTCCAGTCCTTTGCTGCGTCAGTCTGTCCCATCTCGAGGCTGTCAAACGCCGAGCTAGAACGGAAGTCTGATAGGCAACGCTAGTCACGAAACTGGTATAGTTGAGGATTTTGTGCCAGTCGAGCCAGTGACGGAGGATTCTGGTGTGTCCCGAAAAGGAAATGTACCTGGCTTCTTTGTCAGATTCTTAGTTCTTCCTCACTGTCTTTTCTCACCAGTCCATCGGGTCCGTCAGGACCAACCCGACTCACCCTCCCTTACGGTAGGTGGTTATATGGTGTGCTTTTGCTTTTTCGTAGACTATATGCTACCCTCACCGTCGTTTGATGACGACGACGACGATGACGACAACGACGGTGACAACAAAAAAAAAAGGAATTGTAGACTTGCTGTTCACCTGTGACTGCTTTCCGCACAAACTGAGCGGTTAACGTCGCTTTCTTGTTAATCAGCTATCAACTCCCCCATCAGCCCTACCCCCAAGCCCCCGTCGTCTGTCTTTGCTGCTTGGAGTTAGCGTGAGTAACGTGGGGGGGGGGGGGGGGGGGGGGGGGGGCACCGTCAATCATCCAGTGCCGATTCAACCGTCCAAGCCAAGTGGGGAGCAGGTCGTGCCAGGACAAGCCAGTTGGGACAGACAGCACTATTGATGTGATACGCTACCGTGATCTCAATCACGAGATTAGACTATTGCCTTGGAGCGAGACCGGATTTTGATGCGAATGCGAATTGTCAGATTACTCGACTTGGTAGGACTCTAAGTAGAATCATATGAGGGAATCCACTCCACCGAGTAGGTTACTGTTACCATTTGAGCCAAGCTTCAAACTACTCAAAAGTCACAGAATCAAACAGCAACAGAGAGAAGATTCTGAGTGGATAGATGTGATGGTATTCATGGTCTTTTAACCCCAACAAATTGAGGAATTTCAGAAATCTTTATTCGTAAAGCGTGTTCGAGCACTTCGAACCCACGTGAACGCTGGAATCCCGTGGAAAAAAAATGATATCCGCAAAAAAGAAAACCTGTGCCATGCCTTGCCTCAAGTCATAGAAAATTCAAACAAAAGAAAGAGCAGAGTGATCGTCCAACCGGTTTGTCCCTTTCCTTTATAAGTCCATCCCCCCCCCCCCCCTAAATCTCCAAAATTCCCACATGGGTTGTGAGCACCAAAAAGTTGTACAGTGTAGAAGCGAATAGATAAAGTTTGCCCCTGACCATCCCCACAACTGGCAATGGCCAAAGTCATCATGAAGTGAAGAGAGAGAGAGGCTTCACATGTGTTGCGAGACCATGCCCGGGGAGCTAGGTATCGATAAGGGTGTCCTAGGGTACTCGTAGCTACCGGAATCGGAGCAGCTCGCCGAGTGATCGTATGGGTGTTGCAGAGGAGGAGTCTATGGCCATCCAGCATCAGCAACCATGTTCCCGCCTGATATAGCTTCTTGTGGGGGAACTCACGTGAGGCATGTTGTCATATGGTGAAGGAGCCCCGGTATTCATGTCGACGCTCGGGAGATAACCGTAGTTCATGTAAACAGTGTCGTCCGCACCGGGATAGCCCGGCTCACGCTTGATGGCGTCGCTAAAAGGTGCCATAGAGGGGAGCGTCACCGGTACTGGCGCAGTTGTATAGTAATCGTGGTAGGGCGCCTCTGTTGTCACCGCCCGGTACGAGTGCACGGGCGCGTAGAGCATCTCCTCGGGGGGAGGGGGGTACGATGGGTAGGTGAACATGGGCGGCGAGTGCGAAAGCGATCGGTCCCTCTCGTCGTACGAAGCGCCAAAGGTGTAGTCGTCCTCGGGATGCATCGGGGGTGTGAACTGATTCTTGTTGACCGGCACCGGTTTTTGCTGCGACACCGAGGCCTGTTTCTGGGCCTTTGCAGTTTGTTGTTGGGTGCGTTTTGTGGTCTTGCTGGCGGGACTGGTCTTTTCTGTTCCGGGTGACGACGAGGAGTCATCTGATGTGCCGGCCCGCCTCTCGAGATCCTCCAGGCGCTTCTTAAGCTTCTTCCCTGTAGCGCGAGGGTTAGCATCTAGCTCTTACCAACTATTGCAAGTCCCGTTGTGATGACATACTGTAGTTGCGCTGAGCAATGCGGTTCTGAATTCTCCTGCGCTCAGCCAGATCTGAGATCTTTGTCCAGTCCTCATCAGGGTTTGCCGAGCTGCTGAAAGCACTGCTTGTTCCGTGGCCGGAATACTGACGGGGCGGTTGGGGTTGGTGCGCCTGGTAGGCGTAGTGGTGTTGTTGCTGCATGGAGAACATGGCTGATGATGGGTATGGTTCAAGCCCTCGACTCTGAAGATATACAGACATGTGCGTGTGTGTTGCAGATGGTCAAGATGGTAGAGGTAGGAGACACTGTGGTGGGATAGCAACTCGAAGAGGGAGGGGGGAGGAGGCTATCGTGTTATATATCCAAATCGCCGAAGAGAAGGGTGTGAATGAGAGGTACGGAGTTACTTGGTGTTACATATGTACATCTTGTACCCATTCCAAACACAGCCCCGTGGTGTGTAGATGGTACTTGGGTGCTTTTGGCAGTCTGGTTCTTGGTTCCTTCTCATCGAACATCCGTCCACCCTTGACCCTGCAACCGCCTTGGGCTGAGTCCTCTTGGTCTCGGCGGGTCTTGCAGAACGGTGCAGTACACTAGAGGTAGGCTGGGCCAAGAGCCTGCATGAAGAGACACTGCAGTGGTTGGGACGGCCATTGAATCCCTGTATCCAGAGAACTCTGCAGCGCACCTCACCTTTGAACCCTGGCCCCTCAAGATCGGGGCTGTCCCCTCTCTCGGCTGTCCCCAGTGATCCCCCTCTGCCCTCGAGGGCTAATTACCTGCCTGGTCCCGTCCAATGCCATCAGTGCCGGGTGTACCAGATCGCCTGGGCTCCTGACCCACCTGCCCATGCCTCCCCATCTTCCTGTTGTTTTCTTATCCAGGCCTCAAGATTGCGAGCGGCAGCATGTCTCGCAAGCCACGAAGTAGTTGTCATGTTGAAACCGACCATCATTCCGTGTGCGAGGATCTCAGTCATGATGTAGGTATTAGTGTACATGGGAGCCTCCAATCTCTCTCGTGGGTACTGTTGTAGAATAGTGGTTTGGGAAAGCAGGGCTTAGCTGTAACTTACATGACTTTGGAAAGAAAAGTGTACATGAAATTCATGGACATGGTAACCGTACCACTGGGTTGTCACGCAAAGGGCGAGGGCGTCGTCATGTTTGGGGGGAGGGGAGGGGAGGGGTGTGAATGAATGGAAGACTTGTCCGATGTGAATCCCGCATCCATTGAAAAAGGACTCGGGCGCTGGTGGATGACTTTACGAGCAGCCATTGCAGGAGGTGTGCTTGGGGTACAATCGATGCCCCAATGGTGGTGAGTGGGACTCGGATGTGATTTGGAGATTCCAGGTAAAAAAGACGGCAAGTGGAGGTCCGTCGCGAATGTATCGATCCATGCTGTGGATTGATGGACGCCCCGTCCGGTGCGGGCAGTGCGGGTACCTGTGGGGTCATTGGGGTTCAGAGACGGTGACGCTACCTCTGGAAAAGGAACGGTGCGCTACGGATAGCGCTAGTACGGATGCACGCCTCCCCAACGGTGGGTTCTAGTGGAGTGTTTACCAAACGGCGCTGTCAAAAAGAGGTTTAACCCAGTGGGTTCGCCTCTAGGCTGCCATATTTCGAGAAGATGATCCACGAGAGCCCCTGCCACAGAATGCGGGCTAATTTAGGGACTCCACATCAACCACAAAGCAGGATATTGTATCCTAATTTAGCCATTTAACCCGACTTACCCCTGCCGGACATCGCATCTTGACACCCTCATGAGGGAGATATTTTGGGAAAAATGCGAGGGCTTGCTGCGTCTCATTTATGTTCACTACAAAGGGCTTTTGACTGGAGATCCGTCCACTAGCGGTGAGAAGAATGAGTCTGAAGCGTGCGGAACAAATTCTCGTCGCCTTCGTCGCTTTGAATAGGTATTCTTTGGCTGACGATATACAGGGAAAGGGTTCGGTCCCAAACAACGACAAAACCGAATATCCCTGCCTGCCATACCTTATTCCCCGGATTTCTTGCATCATGAATGGCGTGTGTACTTCCTGGCTGTAGTGTAGGCTATATGTACGTACCTCTGGGCAGGCGGCCGTGCCGTAGCAGCGGGAACGCCAGCAGGTCAGAAGCTGCCTTTTGGACAAGTCACCGGCTCGCCGTTGGATGGACCAGGGTTTTAGCTGGCTTGTCGTGCTGCCCAACTTCGCCAACTTTCGCCAAAAAAAAAAACTACACTTGCCTGATACCGTCGAGAAGAAAGTTGACTGGTCAACAAATCTCAGGGGTCGAGCACCCCCCCTCTCCAGGTGTTCAGGGCTCCTTGAAATGATAAAGGGTCCCAGTTTACGCCTTTGAATTGCTTAAATCCGTGAAAGCATAGGCCATGGGCCCAGAAGACCACCACTGAAGAGTAAAAACAATGTGGTTCAGGTACGCCTAGGTGGTGACCCAAATGAGTAGATCATGATAACCAATTTCTTCACATGATTAATAACTCCTGTTGGGGTACCCACTCGGCACGACATCATGACTTATAGCCTGTACAATGTCCACGGTCCAACTGCAGTATCGTGTTCTTGTAGATCCAGCAATATGTGGACAACTCAGAGGGTCAACAATGCCAGGGTGAGGAGTCAGGACGGAAGAAGAGACGCCGCGGACGTGTAATTAACAGCACGTCCGAAACAAGGGTCTCGTTGCGGTGCTCCTCAACTTCATGAAGATGTATAGGGATCTTAATCCGATTATTGAACTCTTGACCTCGAACACGTCTGGTCTTTCCACCCACCAGTGCCTAGATTACCCAGTTCTCCAGACATTTGGCAAACTATGATTCGGTGGTAATTGGTGGTCGTTGAGCAGAGATACGGCACAGTAATGGTTCCCGTGCAACTGCAGTCCTATTCCACAGAGGGCTTTCTCTTGGTGTTTTTGAAGTTCTTGGAAATATCCTTCTGTTGCTGCTGGGCCATGTTGGCGCGGCCCCCGATGTAACGAATACTAGCGAGTCGCTGTTAGGTTGTTGTCGTGTTATTCCCGACATGGCAGGACTCGTGATATGTAGCCCATGCTGGGGGCCAACGGAGTGCTCTCCGGGAGGAAAAAGATCTCTGATTGACCAATGGCGACTTTACATTAGCTTGCTTGACCTCGTAAGACCTTGGGCGGCATGCAGTAGCTAACTACTATCAGCCTACCTTTCTATTCTCACGACCCAGTTAAAGTGGCTGTCGCACCAAGACTAATGGCACCGCAAACTGGGAACAGTCGAACGTGAAGACAGCACCGGAAGATTGATATTAGCACCGTTCACTTTGAACCCCGAGGAAGCGCTAGAAGTTGCGATGGGACGATTCTATTGCAATGTGATGTCGTCGAATTTGTTACTGGCAAAGGACCTGAGCCTCGCGGCAACAGGTAACCCTTTCTGTTTGGTACGGCGGGGGTTGTTCAACTGCAGGCACGTAACGTGCTTTCCACATACAGTCGAACCCCCTGAAACTGCATGTAATTCAGACCGCCAAAATCCATGCACTAAATGGCGAATATGCAGTTTCTAGAAATCACGTGAGAGGAATGAACAGGGGTCATTTACTATAGGAATCTACTCTAGAAACTTCTCCTCCTCCTCGTACTGCCCACCAAACTTCCAGAAATCCAGTAAAGTGGTTTACTTAGAGCGATTAAGTAGGTATCCCTCGATCTTCCTTTTTATTTTCCTAAGTGCTATTACGTTATTGAAGTCAAATAGAGTCTTTTCAACTACCTAATCCAGTACATTAATAAGATTCGTTGCCACCGCTTTTAAATTGATAATGCCCGATAACGTAAAATTTTGGTCATCCTCGTTATCCTTATTATTACAAATATCTTTTAGATTAGCTTACTAATTAGAAATAATATTTTATAGGACATCCTCAATACTTAAAGGCTCTCCTGGAGCCTAGTTCTCGTTGGTAGGGTTGAGAAAGTTATTCAAGTCCATCTTATTACAGATATAAGTAATAATAGTAGTACGGTCGTAGAGTTTGCGTATATTACTAGGTACGTTAATAAACTCCCCTTTCGGTAAAGAGTCTCCTAATATTATTAACCGCTACTAGTAATTAATAATAGTTTTTTACTTAAATTTAAAGAATTATATATTACTAACCCAGTTAAGGGAGAGACGAAGGTTTATCTCCCTAATAGGGTTAGCGCTAAGGTTGGTAACTGAATATTTAATTATAGTTATATATAACTATTTAAAGTAATAACGACGGTATTGTGCTTTAAAATTATTAATAATCCTTTAATCTATTAGTTAATATAGGGATGTAATATTAGGAGGGAGGAATTTAATAATAATATTGTCGGGTGGAGGGGCAAATTTAAGACCAAATTAATAATTAGAAAAATTATCTAACAATAAAAGTACGCACTAGGTAGGCTTTTTGTAAATAATATAGGTATAAAAGGCCTAGAACTATTCTTTTATAATTACTCCTATTATCTAAACCTTCTTATTACTTCTCTAAACGATACGGTAACTATCCTAATTGAAGTATTTAATTGTGCGGGGGATTTTTACTTTATTAATAGCCTAGATTTTAAAAGCGTTATTGCTAATATTATTTATCGTTAATACTAAAAAAATATATATTTTATTCCGCTTAATACTAGGGAGGCTAATAGAAGCAAGACCTATAGAAGGAGTATAATACTAGTACAACCTAGTCTTATTTATATTATAGATATTACTAGGAGAGAATATAGTAATAAACTTTTTGAAATCTACTATAATTTAAATTGTGAAAGGATCCCCAATAGGAGCGTTAGTTACCTCCCTATAGAATGCGCGCTTAGAAATATTGTACTGTTATTTAAATAGTTAATATTATTTTTTACTAAAGGAAGGGTATTGAGAGGTATTAACGGATTTGTTATTTCGTACTTCGGGGTACTCTATTTAGATTTAGCGTGTTTTTTACTACAAAAGCTCTATTAAAGTACTAAAACCGCGAAATTGAATAGCCTTCTACCATTTAAAGAGGATTTCCTTAAATATTAGCTATTATTTAATATATAAGCGTTTACCCTCAAATTGCTGGGCTTTATAATTGATATAGGGGAGATTTGGCGGGTTATTCTTCCTATTGAAATAGCAAAAGATAGTATACTATAGGAACTCTACGCCGTACATGCGTTGAATCTATTCCTAAGCAATATGTTGAAACGGGCGAAATTATTAGGAATAGAACTATTATTACAATTCAAGCCTTTATACCTAAGTAAGAAACTCTCTAGTAGGGTTGGGGGTGGATGAGGGTGTAAGGGTATCCTAGTGGATGTAGCGTTACTTAGATGTCTTTTTAAATTTCGAATTACGGGCTATAATAGAGAATAATAGGGAATATTTTGGGGGATAAAATTGCTAATAAATTACTGCAAAAAGTGGTCTCTGGAATATGGGGAAGTATAAAGAGTATAGAGCTAGCGGGTTATATACCTAGTGAGATAAGGTTTGGGGGGTAATTTAAGCCTCGGTTTAGGCTACAATACTAAAAATCCCTATATTTTCCCCTTTTGAAGGCTGTCTCTAGTTGGCTATAACCCCTTCCTACCCAATACAACCCCCTCCTCTTAGCGTATAAATACTATGGATCGTATGCAGTATGTAGATATGCAGTTGTGAATGGTTTCTAATTTAGACCGCCGATTCTTATGCTCTAACTGGCGTATATGCAGTATTTGGAGGATGCAGTTTCAGGGGGTTCGACTGTAGTGAGAGTTGGCCAAGAAATCAACTGTGTAATGGGTTGAAAATTACCAGGCACAATAATGCTCTGTGATTGGCCAAATAACGGGCCCACTGTTCAATGTCGATACCAGGATGTAATGGGTTAACGTACCTTTCCCCTTGCTTCCAAATCCTTTTTACGATGGATATATCCACCGTAAACACCGACAACAAAGCCAACAGTCCGAAAGTGACAACGCGCGCGCCCGGCCCGAGTTGAACTCGACGCGGACCAGTCTGACTTGGGGCAGTGGCAGTGCGCTCACCAATTTCACCACCGGGTGCATCACATTACCGCTCGTGTCTAAGATCCAAGCCTGCAATCAACCTGTGGGATCAGTAATCGCCCATATTCAGGTCCTAGCCAGAGAGCTCCAGAAAAGCTGCTGAGACTCGAACCACTGGCTCCTCAGGACCGGCTTGAGACCTCAAAGTAAGTTTCTCTTCTCCCCTCGCGGTTGACCGGCCCGCGTTCTAGGCACCAGGATATCCCTCGAAGGCGAAGCAGCAATGTCTGTAGCATTATCGCGGCAATCCACCCGTGGTCTCAGGCTCATGGCTTCGAACAGCCACGATCACGCGGTTACAGCCTGTTAGGGCGAGAAACTCCAAAGAGTGTTAAAATTGGGGCCAGGTTTGAGCGTGCTGGGAGCGACAAGGAGTGGCACTGCTCCGTGTTCCAGCCAGGACCAGCCTTCTGGCTTTTTAACCCCCTTCGGTCCAACCGCTCGGAGCCCCCTCCTAGACGGAGTGCTCGTTATCGTTTTGTCTTTGTTTGCTATCTTGATGATTCCTCAAGGCCAACTTTGGGACTATTGAATGATTTGTTAACGGAAACCACCGCTAATGACAGACAAGAGTGAATGTTTCTTGACACTCATCAGAAGCTATCCACATCGGGTATCTACAGTCCCAGCAAACCATGCACGCAATTTCCAAGTAGTCTATCTGATGGAGCACAATCCACTTCTGT